TGCTCCTCCTGGCCGGATTCATTAGCGCAATCCCAGCATCCCTCAAAGACGACGAACATCCCGCCCCGCCCCCCCCCCCCCCCCCCCATCTACTCCCTAATTTACTGGCGCCTGCGGTGATGAATTATGCATGAGTGTGACCCCTGACCCCCGCAGAACAGTCAGAAAGCTTTCAAAGCTGGCATTTATCTCAATTTGTACCATTAATCACGCCGCGCCAAGTCCGTGGGAAATATCGAGACGTAAAATGGATTAATAGAGTAATCCTGCAAAAGTGGCTTGCAAAACGGCCTCGTCGGAGTTGTGCAGTTGCGTGCAAATCCCAGAGGTGTCATTTCACCGGGGGGACACGCGTGCATTCTACATGACCTGACAGGTCTGTCAACGGCGGCAAAAGAGACACGGGAACTTAGAGACATTAACAAGAAGAGTGATTTGGGGGGGGGGTGGGCCAGAAAACACCATGGAGGAGAAAAACAGGGGAGGGACTGAGGGAGGAGGGACTGAGGGAGGAGGGTCGGTGGGGCAAGGGAAGGGTGTGAGGGGTAGGACCAAGAAACGAAAGGCAGCAACCCCAGGACCGACTCACAGGTGGCGCTGGTGAGCTGGAAGGTGACGAAGGTGTCTGGGATCTCGCAGACGTTGCGGACGGACACCTGGCAGGTGTAATTGGCAAAGTCCTGCGGCCTCAGGTTCTTCAGCTTCAGCACCTTGGTCTCGCCCTACAGAGTGGGGGGGGGGCACGTCATGCAACTGCAAAACAGGCGTTTGTCCCAGTTTTGGAGGCTGCAAGGAGAGCTCCTCACGGCACAGGAAACGGGGCGCGAGAGCGAACGGACGAGGGAAAGAGGCGAAAAGCCAAACTCGAGGCTGCAACCCACAATGCACTGCACGGCTGGCGCTGGCTGATTGGTGGAGATTTCAGACAGTCATAACGAAGCCATTTCATCATTAAAGAGCAGATGAATGGATTTCATGTATGAAAATGGCTTTGGGTACGGGCATCAGTGAAATGAATAATCATCATTATTCTAATAAATTATAACATCACCGGTCCTCTCCCTCTGCAACTGGACATGGCTGTAATAATGGCTTCTGGATTATGGATTCATATTTCATCTCTCTGCATACCTGCCTCCCCGCATTACCGACTGACTTTCGTCGCTAATTCTTCAATCAGCCGTGACTCGTCAGAGCAGCACTCGTGTTAATTGAACCCAGGGAGGGTGCTCTATACACAGAGCGGGGGGGGGGGAATCCTCATTGGCCAGCAAACACTGAAAGATGATTTCCCAGCACTCCCCAAACACATGTATGCGCACGCGCGCGCGCACACACACACACACACACACACACACACCTGTCCATACTTTAATGCGGTCAAATATGGTGTTTTTCATATTGAAAAGGAAACAATTTCCGAAACTGCGATGGAGATAGAATTTGCGAGTTAGTTGGTACGTAGGACATGACACACATTGTTTAGTTTCTGGGTTGGTGGTGATCAGATGTAAATCAGGCGCCCGCAAAGCCTGCTCCTTATTGAAGCATGAGATGCGGATCTTAATACCGGGACATGAGGAATGGCAAGTCCTATCGGCATGACATCCATTAGTGAAAATACAATTTAACTTTGTTGACTCTGTCGAAAATTCACTTAGAATTTGCTCAAAGCTTTAATGGAAGGAAGGCTAATTTTTCCTAACTGCGTAGAAACTGGGTGTGAGAGGCGGTGGGCGGGTACCTGGGTGTAGAGTGGCTCGTAGATGTCCACGCCGTTGTCCTTGCTCTGCTCGATGGGCTGGCTGCCCCTCTTCCAGATGAAGCGCGCCGGCGGATTGGAGTTGACCGTGCAACGCAGGAACACGGTCTTCTCCTGGTAGTAGCTACCACGCACATCGCTAATGGTCTGGTGCACGGTCAGCACGGGCTGGTCCAGGTCTGAAACACACACACACGTGGTCAACACGGGCTGGTCCAGGTCTGAAACACACACACACGTGGTCAAAACACGGGCTGGTCCGGGTCTGAAACACACACACACGGTCAGCGCAGACTGATTCAGGTCTGAATCACACACATAAATGCACTCATGCTGGTGTGACTTCGGGTGGCTGAACGTCTCCAGTTCCAGGGAGGGGGCGGGGGGGGCACCAGGCACCATATCCCCACCTGAGAAGCAGGCGATGGACAGGCTTCTTTCACCTGTAGGCCAACAGGGCGGCAGCCATCAGTATGAGCGGGGCAGAGGGAAGGGGAATGGCTGTACGGTTGTGCAGCATGCTGTGCATGTGTGTGTGTGTGTGTGTGTGTGTGTTTGTGTGTGTGTGTTTGTGTGTGTGTGAAGGTGCCTGAAGGGATGGCGCTGAGTTATGGACATTCCGGCGGTGTCCTCCTCCCGACTCTCAGAAGCTGGAGTGAGCAGGTCCAGGATGGAAGCAGTGAGGATTCAGTGAAGAGACGATGAAAGTTTCATGTGTGTGTGTGTGTGTGTGTGTGTGTGAAGGACACAGCAAATCGATGGGGGAGGGGGGGTAACAATTCTGGAGGCTGTCTGAATTTTTGAGTTGGTCAAAAACAGTCACCTCAAACAAAACCACATGCAGCGATGACCCAGAATTCCATAGTTTAAGCCCCCCCCCCCATCCATGGGCTGTATGTGTCACGTCAGTCAGGAGGGCTAAAAGGACATGGCATGCCTAAAGACCAATTAAC